ATTTCTGAAACATTTCAACAGGTTGACAATGGTTATGAAGACAGCAGCAGTTCCTACATGTTCTCAATGGGTACAAAAACACTCCTTTCTGGCCTTTCTACATGCTTTTGAAAACATTCCAGAATCTTTCAGAATATTATCAGACCCAACCAGTCCCTCCTAGCCAATACAGAGAAAGGATGTCAAAACAACAGCTTGAGAACTTTCCATCAGTGTGTTGACAGCTAGTTCCGACACAATGAAAACGAAACATGGGAAAAAAACATCATAATCATTTCTGACCCTAAGGAAACCATTGTGCAGGGATTCTTACAGATAATTTTGTATAATACCGGTATATCTCGTATAAAAACTATTTTTATGCCACATGACATTTTAAGCCAAGACAAAATCAGGATAATTTCACAAATCAGGATTTCTGGATTTATTCGGAAAATCTGCACCAGTTTTACAGTGGCAATACCCCAGACTTAGGCGCACTAAAAAATCCCAGAATTTACCTCAGATGGTTTGTTTTTTTAGTACGAGTTTTATGGCAGTTGCAACACAGTAAGGTCATTAGATTAGGTGTTACAAGAGAGTAACAAACATGAAAAAGGAGGAGAGATCAGGACTTTAGATGTTCGACAGGGAAGAAGAAGCAAACCACACCAGAGCACCCGTCAACCACCATCCTCAGAGTTTCCTACACTTTTGTAGTATCATAAACTTCTAAAAAAAAGAGGTACTCCTTAAGTCATTTTATAGAAATTTGCGGTCTAACACATGGGGAATTACTCGAATCTGGTTTACTTCTCTCCTCTGAATGTTGTATCCTCATTCTCCATCGTTCCTGGTCAATTTGAAATACATTTTAATTTCAACTCAGAACAGACTTTTAGTCATACCAAGAGTTTTACAGCACTTGAAACACAAATAGGTCATATAAGTGCCGAAAATCCGGTGTTACTAGGAGTAAAATTTAGATTAAAAATGACAAAAAAAGATAAGGATGACAGATTTTTAGTGGCAAGAACAATTTTTCATTAATTTCTACCAAAACTGAAAATACTCTTGTCAGTATAAAAAGCATAGAGTACCTTCGAAATCGGAATGTGGCTGCCTGATAGCAAACGGACCTATGACATAGGAAAAACGGTCACATACGTTAAAAAATCACGCCTGGAGAGGAATGGGTGCCGCCAGGCAGGCTACCCTTGACCAAGACAAACTGCGTGAGTTAGTTTAGTAGAGGTTTTAAGGCGCTCGCAGCTGCATAAGGTCATTTGAGCGCCAGAAGATTAGAGGTGTTACAAGAGAGTAACAAACATAAAAAAGAAGAAGGAGAGATCAGGACGATAGATGTTTGATAGGGAAGAAGAAGCAAACCACACCAGAGCACCTGCCAACCACCCACTAAACTACGTGACAATGAAATGATGAAATAGTATATAAGTTTAGCGCCCCTCTCAACACTATTAGGTAACCCTTAACCAAACCCATACGGTCAGCGGGACCACAGAGTTTAACATCCATCTCCGAAAGGACTGAGCCAAACGAGAAATTTGAGTAAAATGCCGTTCCCAATGACACATTATCAGACCGAAGTGAGGCTCGAACCCCTGAACCCACAGTCTCACGAATATGAGACCGGTAGCCTCACCACTAGGCTAGCGACGCCACTGAACACACTGTGTGAAAATGAACACAACACCAACGTCTTCAGAGGTGGAGGAGATAGCTGGTGCCACGTTCAGCGATACAGTAGCACCCCCCCCCCCCACAAAGACCCCGGGGAAGGGTTTCGGGACTCGTGATGCGTCAGTAAGAAAGAAAAAAGGAACAAATCACATCTAAGCATCTACCAACCACCCATCTACGTCACAAGAGTGAGTTAAAAAGTTATTGTGGGAAAAAAACAACCCTCCTGAATTATAATCTTTCTATCCAGGTTTCAGCAAGTACAGACTTTTTAGGATTTTGAGTAATAATAATAATAAATAGCATTTGTATAGTGCATATCCCCTTCGACAGCAAGCTCTATATGCGCTTCACACTATACTATTACCCCAGCAGACCAAAGAACATCCAGAAACATTCTCGGATTTCCGGAAAGCATACAGTGCAAGCAGCTGATTAAGCGCTCAAACACTAACAAACTGACAAGACACAGGTCCTTTAGATGTTTTTTAAAGACTGCTTGACCAATAAAGACTCGAGATCCCTTTAAGGTTTCAGGCCAATGGGTTCCAACTCAGATGGCTGCTGGATTGGAAAAGCAGATTCCTTAACCCTGAAATTTTTTTTTACCGTTTCCCTGAGTTTTTTCTTCAGTCACCTGAACCTGGCGCACTATGTCTCATTATAACCCCAAAAGCTTGCCTCCAACTTAGTCATTACTTAAAAACTTGGTTCGGGAATAGATCTGAAAAACAAGCAAAAACCAGCACTAAATAAAACGAAACAGTTGTCACTGGTATCGGCTGCCAGGATCCGATGGTGAATAGGGTTATTACCGTCGGACGCTATAGGGTTTAAAGAATCAAGGTAACCTGTAATCAATTCCCTTAAGGTAACCCTTAACCAATTCCCTAAGGTCAGCCTTAACTAATCCTTTAAGGTCCGCCGAAACTCCTGCAGTATTCATTTGAGAATCTTTACAAAATACCCTCCAGTTCCAGTGCACAGGACTATCCAAGCAACCTCATAGAACCACTTATAAGATTCAGTTATTTCCAAAGAGCTTTTCGGAAACTGCATGAAATAAATTGGGAAGGATGAAGAAAGCAGGTGAGGGGAAAGGTTATCATTTGTGAACATTATTTCTTCGAAAAACCCTCGGGCAAAGACTTGAATATTCTCTAAACACAAGAGTAACTGCAACTACGCACAGAATAGTGGCGTTGCAGCCTGCTCTTTGGATTTGCCCCTATCAACACTACTAAGTCATTTAAGAGGTGGAACCTCCGAGATTTAATGTCCATATCTGAAAGGACCGAACACACAGAGAGATTGGTGGCAAGTGCGTATATAGTTTTAAGCTATCAATGCAATAAAGCTCAGGGTCTCATCATCACCATCATCAAATTTATCATTTTTTTGGACACATATATAGCCAACTTTTTATCATTAGCAGCAAATACATCAGCATCAGCAGCAACTTTCAAGTGATTTTTCCCACCAGAACAATCTCAGGTCGCCTAGTGAACTGTAACTTAAAATTAACATGTGGCAACCATAAAAATAGGGCACAGGACCAAAACTCGAAAAAAGTAAAGCTCAGGGTTTGCACAATTCTAAAAAATCAAGGGGTAGCTATTACTAACTTATTACCGGGAAATCAGAACGTCATTCACCCTGAAAACAAACACGCATCAAAACAACACACACATTTATTAAGCGAATAAAAGAGGGACCAACAGGCCACGAAAAAATCTGGGTATTTTCAAACCCTGTGAAAATGCCCGCATGAGGACTCGCAATTTATGTACATATTACACCAAAACATTTTCTATGTGGTGCAAAATCTGAAATATTTCAGAAATCTCAGCAAGATGCTGCCCTAAGGTCTAGGAGAAAAATGGCTGTCTTAGATAGGTGGATGTCTTGGACTGTGTCATTATAATGTATGAAAAAATGCAGGGGGGAAAAATGGGAAATAGCCATTTGTACAGGTGGCTGTTAAGGCAGGTTCAACTCCTTTTTTTTTGTTGTGATCTTCAAAATCCAGCAGCAAAAAGGGTCATCCGCAAGTAATATATTTCATTTTGATACGTTGGTTCCAATTTTGACATTATTTTCATGATAGGATGCAGTTTTCAATAAATTCATAAAAGTTAAAGAAAGCGAGAAAAAAAATACATACTGTGGTAACAGTTGTTACAAGAATGAAACCATTTTTGTTCTCTTTCTTGACAAATTTTGCTTTCTCCATTTATAATACATTTGAATAGTTTGCAGACGATTTGTAAGTTAGCCGCTCTCAGCACTATCAAGGAGCTTAATCAATCTTTCAAAAAACGTAGGTGATTTTTTTTTACACCACCATCAACACAATTTCTGTAAATTTAGGAGGCGGGTTTCCCACCCTGCCTGTCAGGCCCAACTATTGCTGAGAGGGATGCAACTTCCCAAATGAAAGACTGCAAAATACCACATAAAAGTTTTCTCCCCACTTGGGAATCAAACTCGGGTCTCCAGCGTCCGACAGTGAAGCCTCTAACCACTACACCACAGACGTCTGAGGGGCTAGATAGGAGGATCTCGCATGAGGCTCACCTGTAAATGACAATCTCTATCGCTGGAAATGAACAAAATTCGCCCTTATGAGAGAGGTGTAACTCATGAAGTGGAAGATGAATTTCACTTTATTTTCTTCTTTGTTCACACTTTGTCCATCAAAGGAAATTGTTTATTCCTCCCAGCCTGACTCGGCCCAGGGACAGAAATATGCAATGTTTGACCCACGATAAGAGATATGTGCACAATCTGTACTTATTCATTATGGAAACTTTATTTATCAAATGAGTGTTTTATATGATGTGATGAGGGCCAATGGCCGTAACACTTTTCCCCCACGGGAAGCCGATCGGCGACGGTAAGAACCGTACATTTTCCCCATGGGACGCCAACCGATGACGGTAAGAGCCGTACCTTTTCCCCACGGGACGCCAATCAGCGACGGCGTGATATAGCATGTACCGCATCTGTATTCCTGTCCGTCTGGATAAGTGTTGCGTGCTGCGCGGGCCGATAGTGTTAAAAACTGAATAAACCTAGTTACTTACTTACCTACTTCCTTCCTTATTAAGTTTTGGTAAACAGGTTTTGAAAAAAAGCTGGAAAATATACGCGCACTGACTGAAATAAGAATACAGCGAGACTAAATTATATTTGTTTCTTTCCCTCTAGTACAATAAATAATCTCTAATTAGTATATATAATATCAAGTCAGCCGCAAAAATCGAAAAAAGCCAGAAGATTTACATCCCTGCAACTTAGTTACTTTGTTAGTCACTTACCCGTAGATACAGGACATATCGATGACCACGTCGATCATGTCGCAGCACAGCTCGTAGCACTGCATGTCCACCGGGGTGCTGTCTGTGGCGATGTAGATCTTACTCACCACGTCAAACAGGAAGGCCTTTTCAATTTTGGAATTCTGCAAAGAGACAGACAAAAAGTCCTAGAAAATTATTACAGCAAAAAAACTTAGTGACTTAAGCGCTTTCTTGTCGCATCTCCATTTTTTTAAAACGGTGAAAATGTGACTTCTTAAACTCACTCTTTGTTATGAACTGTTTTCACGGTAATTAAAAATGATAGATACCACAAGAAAGCACTGAGGTTGCGACTTTAGTAATAAACATGTCTTGGCCACATGTTACGAATGCCACAAAGTCAGCCAGCCTCGAGGGCCATTTGTTCCACCAGTGCCTGAACAATAAAACAGTACAGTTTCTTAAAAGACTTTATTGAGTCTAACGTACCATCAGGATCTGAGATCTGCGGATCAAAATCTTGTGAGAGTGCCCACTGTAAAGTCTAACAAGCTGGGTGGAAGAATTTTTTTCCTTAACCTCTAAAGTTTGAAATTCCCTCCTAAAAGAAAAGCATATATTATAACAGCTGAGAGAAGGAATACAAGAAAAGTCTAAAGAAACATTTGTTCAACACTGCCAATATCCCCTGCCGGTAGATTTTGTATGTGATATATGTGTGTTTTAACACTTTTTGGGACACATTTTAAAGACAGCCACCAATTTTCGAGGAGAAAAGTGCCTGTCTTACATGGTGTCATTATATTGTAAAAAAAAGGCAGGGGGGTTGGGGGGGGAAAGAAAGAAGGAAAGGGAAGTGGCCATTTGTACAAGTTACAAGTGATTGTCTTATTCAAGAGGATTTTATAGCAGTATCAAATGTAAAATAACATTGTCCAAGACATCCACCTATTTCAGACAACCACCTTTCTCTTCGACAATGAGTAGTTGTGGTTGTCCTGGACAAGTTGGCCAGTAGTTCCCCTATCAGGTGCAAAACGCGACATGCAGAAAGTAATAATAATATAATAATAGGCTGCATTCATATACCCTCTATCCCATTCTAGTATAAGCTCTGGGCGTTTTACGTCAATCACATGATCATTCAGCCATTCACCCAAGATGAAATATTTCACAGTAACAAGAACAACGAGTTCAACCACATAAAGAAGAACTTAGAACTTTCACCACCATACATTACCTGTATACATGTAAGGACAGCAGTAAAAACAAAACATATCAGCACTTACTAACACACTGTAACTAAAAATTAAACAAAATGAGTCTTGAGCAATCACTTAAACGTATTAAGATTTGTTATTTCTCTGAGATCCTGGGGCAATATGTTCCAGATTTTAGGGTAAAAAAAATGAGAAGCTTTTTCAACTAAAAGATCTGAACTTCATTCTAGGGGCTCAAAATTTGAAGAACTCACAGAGATGACGATGTCCAGCAGGTTCTCGAGGACCGGGAGCTGAGGGATCAACTTCTGCACCACTTTGCTGAACGCCTCGAAGATGGAGTGGTCATAGATGCTGGTCAGGTGGAAGCTGCGGGGGAAAAAGTGACACAATTCATCCAGTTCTCATTACGAGTGACACAATTAATCCGGTTCTCATTACGAGTAACACAATTCATCCATTTCTCATTACGAGTAAATACAATTCATTATTACGAGTGACACAATTCATCCAGTTCCCATTACGAGTGACACAATTAATCCAGTTCTCATTACGAGAGACACAATTCATCCTGTTTTCATTACGAGTGACACAATACATCCAGTTCTCATTATGAGTGACACAATTCATCCGGTTCTCATTACGAGTGACACAATTCATCCAGTTCTCATTACGAGTGACACAATTCATCCAGTTCTCATCACGAGTGACACAATTCATCCGGTTCTCACTATGAGTGACACAATTCATCCGGTCCTCATAACGAACGACACATCCATTTCTCATTACGAGTAAATACAATTCATTATTACGAGTGACACAATTCATCCAGTTCCCATTGCGAGTGACACAATTAATCCAGTTCTCATTACGAGAGACACAATTCATCCGGTTCTCATTACGAGTGACACAATTCATCCAGTTCTCATTACGAATGACACAATTCATCCAGTTCTCATTACGAGTGATACAATTCATCCGGTTCTCACTATGAGTGACACAATTCATCCGGTCCTCATAACGAACGACACAAGGCATCGGCGATAACACTGAAGGTGTTTAACAGTTTTACGGCACTTGTAACAACACAATTAGGTCCTAAAAATGCAGAAGATAAGAGTAGTTACCAGAAAGTTCTAGTTTTAGTAAGAGTTTTACGGCATTTGCAACACTATAATGTCATATGAGTGCAGAAGATTAGAGGTGTTACAAGAGAGTAACAAACACAAAAAAAGGAGAGATAAGGATGATAGATGTTCGACAGGAAAGGAGAAAAACCACACAAGGGCATCCCCCCCACTATACAAATAAAGACAGCAGAAAAAATTAACTGGTGTGCCAGTCCTAAAACAGTAGACAACAATAAACCACATACTCACCAGTCTGTACTCACATCGTATCAAAAACTTGAATAAAGAATAAGAAAATATTTCTAAAACCGTAAAAGACAATGTCCATTGCATTATTTTATTTATAATGTTTCAATCAAAGAGGCCACAGCAGATCCCTGTCTCAAGTTCTAGTTGTCAGCATTAAGCTACCACTTAGAAAAGTGTAAATAGAATCTAAATACAGTCGAAACTGTCCAAGACAGCTGCCCCTTGCCAGGGGAAAAAAGTGGTTGTCTTAGACAGGTGCACATCTTGGACACTGCATTTCTTGTTTGTTTGTTTTAGTATTAGTAGAGGTTTTACGGCACTCGCAACTGCATAAGGTCATATGAGCGCCAGAAGATTAGAGGTGTTATAAGAGAGTAACAAACATAAAAAAGAAGAAGGGGAGATAAGGACCATAGATCTTTGATAGGAAAGAAGAAGCAAACCACACCAGAGCACCCGCCAACCACCCACACTGCATTTCTAATTTTATTTTTTTAAACTGCATTTCTAATGTAAAAAACCCCAACAAAAACAAGGGGGAAATGGGAAGTGATTACTTGTACAGCCGATTGTCCTAGACAGGTGGCCATTAGGACAGGTTCCATTGTACTCTAAACATAAAAGAAAGATAAAAAAAAAAAAAAGAAGAAAAGAAAACAAAGAAAAAACAAAATCCGACTTCTTAGTGCAAAACTCTCATCACACAGTTTTAAAAAAAAGGAGGTATGTGAGGTGTGCTGACAAAATGAGTTACTTCTCGTAATCCATGAATGGAGATATTGACCGAAAATCGACCCTGGGGTCAGATTTATATATTTTCAATTGATGCCATTTTCTTTCAGTCTACCGTGTCATTTATTATGCCATCCTTACAAATTGTACAAATTCCACCGATAAAATCGACGTATCAATTTCCATTAGGCTAAAATCTGAGAAGTACCTCATTTTGTCAGCACACTTCACGTATGACAGAGTCATAAACAGAGCAGTTGAAATAACCAGAAGATACCTCAGACGTATGTTATCCATGCCAGCGTCTGCCAACTCGTCAGTAGCCCTCTGCAGGATGTCTCGCTGAGTTTCGATTTTGTTGTCGTCGGACAGACCGTCCACTTTATGGATGAACACTTCAAACTTGATGTTTTCGTTGATCTTATGGGCCCGAGTGACGGCCATCTGCAGCCGCGACAACGCCTCGATGTAGTCATCCTGGCAGGGACGGAGCAAAACCAAGTCAGTTCAAGGCCGTTTTAATTTTAGTAAGAGTTTTACGGCACTTTCAACACAATATTACAAGGTCATATAAGTGCCGAAGATATGAGGTGTTGCAAGATAACAAACACAAAAAGAAAAAGAAGGAGGGGAGATAAAGACGATAAGATGTTTGATAGGAAAGAAGAAGCAAACCACGAGAGAGAGAGAGAGAGAGAGAGAGAGAGAGAGAGAGAGAGAGGCATACAAGAAAAGCTATCAAATTCCCCTGTATTATATAACATGTCTACTTTCATGTTTCCCATAACTTGACGTACCTGTGCATCTATGACAAAGATGAGGGCCCCACAACCACCAAAGATGTACTCCGAGTCGAACGTTGCATCAAAGAAGTCGATCTGACCCGGAATATCCCAGATTTGAAACTGGACAAACGATGAGTTGGAAATATCTGTTGGAGAGAAAAGTTATTCGAGCAATCAGGGAACCGCACTAAAATTTACAATCAGATAACAAATGGTGAATGTCAACTTCCGCAGTCAATTTGTCTTTTTTTTAAAAATAGTAGTTTTACGGCGCTTGCAACTGCATAAGGTCATATGAGCGCCAAGGGGTGGGTGTCAACAGAGAAGTCTTTACAGGGAATCAGACTTACTCTGCTCACCTCTCTAGCTTCAACAGAACAAGGTCTGCTTCGACTATCAAGGCACCCCGGAAATAGCAAGTCTCAAGAGAGTGACAAACATACAAAAGAAGTAGAGGATAGAAGACAATAGTAAGGATTAGGAAAGAAAAAGCAGCAGTTCCCTGTTGTAGATCAGGCACAGTTATGAGCGCGACATGAATCAGCCCATTTACAATTCTACTGCGCTTGAATGAGAAATGTCCCCCCTTTGGGAATGGCCTAAAGACACTATAGTCAGTGGCACTGCCCCGAGGGAATCCAATTTGTCTGCTCTGACTGTCTCACATGATGTGAGTGAGAAAGACAAGCAAACCTCACCTTTGATTAACCTGTCACAAAGCCTGCACTTCCATTCAAATAGTCACACAATGTAGACATGTTCTCCTGGCTATACACTACTATCTTAACTGAAAAATTTAGTACAGTATAACATGGATAGCTCAAATTTGTCGGGACCGGCCTCAGTAGTTCGAGGGGTCCTTCATTTGAGGGATATCTTACAAAGAAAAAGAAAAAAGGGAGGGGGGTTGGCGGCGGCCGCAGGCAGTTCGACGGATGCGTATGTGTGATTTCGAGTCTTCTGTGTTTGACCTATCCGTGTTATACTGAGGTAGCCAAGACGTCAGTAAAACAAAACCTGGGTCTTCGCAGACACAGCACCTAGGTCTACAGTGCACTGGGCCCCGAGATCATAAAGACTTAGGAACCACATCTTCAGTGCAGTCAACAGCTTATACAAGATACTGTCGGCTAAATGTTCAAATGTACTAGGATGAAATTTTGACATTTTCTTTAATGCTGTTTTCTGAACTCAATCGCTACGCCGAGCCGTGGGGGGCGGCGCGGCTAAAGTGCCGTCAGTACGCTGAGCCGCCCCCGGCGGCTTGAGAACCGACGTTTAATTTTAGCTTGGTTTCTATTCCAATCCACATATCCATGTTAAAATAAAGGTAATAATATAATGTTGACTTCCGGGTCAAGCGTTTCCACCGAAAATCGGAAGTTTAGATTCAGTTTTGAAACACGATTTCGTAGTTTATTTGACTTTGTTTTATCGCGAAGCCAAAATCATAGCCCAGACACCAGCCTTAGACTTTTACACAACTAAATCTATCATTATTTTGCCCACTAAAGAAGTGTAGGACTCTTCTTTATAATATTGATACTATAGGACGCAAATTGCCGGTGCACTGTAATTGAGAAATCAATACTTTCTACGCCTAGATATATCTAGATCTAAATAGTCAAAATATTTTTTTCTCCCCAAAATCACTACTTTTGGGTGAAATTACTCAAAAGTACCACTCAAGACAAGTATAGCTTTATTCCAAACGCAATTCTGAATAATTCCATATAAAATACGCGTATTTTTTCCTGTTTGTGATCCTTTTTTCAAAATTATTTTAAAATTATTTTTTTTTCAATATCGGATGTTATGATCCAAATGTACAAATATTATGGAATGTATGTAAATAACTGCACATTTTTCAATATTTTCCTGTTCTATATACATTTATGGTTATTTTGATGTATCATTTGACTAGGTGCAAACATATTTTATGAGTTTCACCTGAGATTATAAATTTTTTATTTTCCAATTTTATCCGCATCCAATCACAATTGTGTTGCATAATCGCCTCTTACAGGAACCAAAGTTGAAAAATACACAAATAAATAATGCAGATGTATTCTACAAACCATACTGAAAATGTTGGTATATAATATGTTGATATTTATTTGAATTTATGGACCCAAAGACCTGTGAACTGCGCACTAGTCATCATCTCATTTCGCCCTCCCGAAAAAAATTCGTCCACAAGCCGAAAATAATACGCAGCGAATGAGTTAATCTGGTGTATCAGTTGCTCAAGAAATATTTTGTTGAAATACAAATTTTTAACGATGAAAAAAGCTAGAAAAGAGATGCAAGGTAGGTAAAAATTGCTTTAAATTAAAGAATGAAATAGTTTTTTTTCCCTCTCCTGAAAAACTTTGCTTGTCTGAGCTTAGAACATTTGACCAGCTTGCTGACAATAGAATGTTCAAGAACGCAGCAGTCCAAAACTACGGTGTGTACGCTGGTCATCAGACCACACATCTGCTGATGTTCCTAAGTTTTACAGCCCTTGCAACACAATTAGGTCATATAAATGCCGAAGATTAGAGGTGTTAGAAGAAAGTAACAACCCCCCGCCCCCCCCCCCCCAAAAAAAAAAGGAGAGATCAGGACAATAAATGTTTGAAAGGAAAGAAGGAGCAAACCACACCAGAGCACCTGTCTAACACCTACTTCACACCCCCCACACACTGAAAGAAGGAGCAAACCACACCAGAGCACGCGCTCATATGACCTTATGCATTTGCGATCGCCGTAAAAAACCTTACCAAACAACAACTACACCTGTCTAACACCTACTTCACACCCCCCACACACCTTTAATACAGCAGCAACATTGGCAATGTTAACAAAGTCCCCCCCCCCCCCCCCCCCACACACACACACTCATGTTGCAAGAAGCTCTAGCTTTTACAATAACCTTTACTTAGACACAAGAAAAAACACTTGTGGAAGCCACAAATTACGTAAAAAACGGTTTGTGTGGAAACTTACCATCTTTCACAATTTTACTAGTACTCTCCAGGAACAGAGTCTCATTTGGTGAGACTTTGTGGAAAACGACTTTCTGTATTGAAGACTTGCCGCTCCTGTTCGACACAAACAGAAACAGAGGAGGATGAGAAAATGAGTGAGTGCCTCCAGCTTTGTAAACATTACTGACTGAACACAGTGCTCACAGCTATACATAAACACAGGAGATGGGAAAGTCAGTGCCTATACCTTTATAAACATAAGACATCGAACACAATACCCATTTCTATACAAATATAAGAAATCGAACACAATACCCATTTCTATACAAATATTAGAAATCGAACACAATACCCATTTCTATACAAATATTAGAAATCGAAAACAATACCCATTTCTATACAAATATTAGAAATCGAACACAATACCCATTTCTATACAAATATTAGAAATCGAACACAATACCCATAGCTATACAAATATAAGACATTGAACACATTACCTATAGCTACCATATATCATCATGTATAGAATGCAATTTTTGACCTTTTCAGAGCTTCAAATTCACAGTGTGTCTTAGCCATGAGATACATATATAACAAATCAGACATCTCCCCCTGCCTACATTTTTTTTTCAAAATCAGGACACCCGGAGGTTCAACTACACCTATGGCTGTACAAACAAAAGACAGAGAAAAACACTTTTTTAAAAAAAAGTAAGAGTTTTACGGCACTTGCAACACAATAAGATCTTCAAAGATTAGAGGTGTTACAAGAGAGTAACAAACACACAAAAGAAGGAGGAGATATCAGGATGATAGATCATAAGATGTCGGACAGGAAAGAATAAAGAGCAAACCACACCAGAGCTCCCGCCAACCACCCACATTGAAGAACACCAACACTATGACAGAGTACCTCCTGAGGCCCATCAACAAAATCCTGGGCTTCTCGTCCCCGGGGCTGGCGGCGCTGTCTGTGTCTGCCTCGTCGGGGCCATAGCCAAAGCCCTTGGGAAAGGAGCCCACGTATGTCCCGCCTTGATCGTCCTCGTAGGACTGGGACAAAGGAAATGTGTGCGTGTGAGGCATCCCGCTAACATAAGCTGCTCCTCAAAATGAAATTATTTTAAGTGGCATTTTCCGAGGGTTGGGCAATTTTTCTTGAATTATTGTTTTTAGGGCTCAACACCTTATAAGTCCATCTAAAAACACACTTCGGTGTGGATTTCACTGAAAAATGTTGATTAAAGACACACAAAAATAAAATTTTCAGTCAGTATCCATTGATTCTCGAGCTTTAGAAATGACCAAACTTTGACAGCCATTTTCGTGCTAATTTTACCTGAGAAAGCAGGCCACCCCCACTCCTTTTAATCACAAATACCTCGACTTCTATTCCAGACTGATGGGCATCTTTTTCACCGAAATCAAGAGAACAAACTTTGAGACGATACCAATAACTCCATAAATGCCCCAAAATTGACAGAGTGCTTGATCCCATTACATTGTGACATGGTTTGAGTGCAGAGAAGCACATCCACGCACATTTAGGGCAGGGACAGACTCAGAAAGATTGAGAAACCAGAATAAATAAATAACACAATTTTAAAAGTTTTAGTTTTAGTATAGTTTTAGTAAGTGTTTTACGGCACTCGCAACACAATAAGGTCAAATAAGTGCCGAAGATTAGAGGTGTTACAAGAGAGTAACAAACACAAAAAAGAAGGAGGGAAGATAAAGACGATAGATATTTGATAGGAAAGAAGAAGAAAACCACACCAGAACACCCGCCAACCACCCACAAGTTTGAGTTTGAGTTACATCGACACAGTAATGGTCATTTAGTGAAAGGAAGAAGCAAAACAGATCGACAGAAACAACAGAGGGAAAGAAAAGGATTAGGACCTACCAGTGGCGCCCTCCAATCCCCCACACAATTTCACTGATCATCATCCTCACCATCCTCATTGTACGTGTAAGTAAGAAAAGAAAAACAATGAGTAGACAGTAAGATCGAAACTTGAGTATATTTCACCCAGCTTTTTCTTGCTTTGGCCCATCAGATATTCAGGATTGTTTAATCCGGCCCCCAACTTGGACACACATGTTTGCCCATGACTGATTTAGGTGATTGTGGAATCTGTATAGTTTTAGGTAAGCATTTTACGGCACGTGCAACACAGTTACATCATATAAAAGTGCCAAAGAATAGAGGTGTTCCAAGAGAGTAACAAACACAAAAAGAAGGTGGAAAGATAAGAATGATAGATGTTTGAGAGGAAAGAAAGTGGTGACGAAAGCAGACGACAGAACATGGTTAGTGAGCTGCTGCAGGAAAGGATGTGAAAGGAGAACATTTTATAGAGAAGAAAATTCTCCATTGCTATCGCGTTGAACCCGGGAACTATTGAATGAAAGGCGAACACCTTAACCTCTAGACCATGAGAGCCGCTTGTTGAACAATGGAACGCAAGTGAAGTGATCGTTTACAATACCACCTCTCCAACACGTGACAACTGTTCAACAGATTAGAACTATTACAACAGAAACAGCAACAGTAATACATAATAAAAGCCCGACCGGCCAGTTACGAAATCAGTAATAGTCAATAACCTACTCCAAGTCTCAACTGACTGAGATATCAGTCTTTTGGCAACTGATAAGAAAGCTGTTCTCTCACTTAATATAACAAACTCGATGATAAACTTATCATTTTGTTACACACCACACCATCATTAGTAACAACCCTACCCTTGCTTTTCGCTGGTAAACCAATAGAAGGTGGAAAGGTCAAATCATATGATAACTGATAACAGTCTGAAAGGATGAAAACAAATCACTGTGTGACGAGTCAAACCCGTCGACATTTCCGCTGTGGTGTAGCAATCAGCTGTACAAGTGTTATCGGCGGCTCTTCTCGGCACACTTGGCACAGACGCCAGTCTGCTGACTACGCGAAACGCTACAACTATCCATCACAACCACAAGCATCATCATCATCTGTTTATCAATTACGGCAGCAAGCCTTCTTCAATCTTTTGACACTTCCATAAATTACCAATTGCCAGTTCAAAATTTTGTATTAACATACTGACAAGATCTTTCGCTGTCTATTGCCGGGCACCCATTCCCACCTGGATGAAATGAGGAAAATTCATGTAAAGTGCTTTCTCAAGGACACAACATCACGCCTGGGTCTCGGACCCTAAACCCACAACCTCACGATTACAAGTCCGGTAGCCTAACTATTAGGAGTTAAACTATGTGGAAAAGAACTGAAGCTTGAAAACACCCTGTGCTGTTCATGGACAGTTTGAGAGTATAATACAGTCGAACCTACAGGTGTAAAACGGCAACCCATTTTCAAGGAGAAAAGTAGGCGTCACAGGTGGTCCTCTTAGACAGGACTGATCAAAATATACTGAGGTCCGAACGGGGGCTCATCTCACGCTTCGGACTGCTGTAGGCGAATTTAAAAGGGCTTGTTGTTTTCTTTTGAAAAAGGAGAGTGGAGGGGTGTAAGAAGGTGTTTTTGTTTTTGTTTTGTTTTCTGGTTAGCTTTTTTTTCTGCTGATTTTGGGTAAGGACCAAACAAACAAATGTAAGCTACGAAGACCCAGTGCCATAGTAAAACAAACATTGCGTCGCCACCAATCGCAAAATGAGCGACGCTTCTGTCGCAAGTTTACTTTGATGTATGTCCATTGCTTCTTTGTTACAGATTAAATAAACAAAACAGTAACCAGTCACCTCAAACGCGATTTTTGCACGAGTTGTAGGCGGGTCACATGCTTTCCTCACCAGCAGTTGAACATTTATTGTTACCCATTGGTCAACTTGGGTACACATTAATTGGAGGGACTAAGAATAAGAATAATAATAAGAGAGAGCATTTGTATCCTGCCTTTCTCAACAACATGGGCCCAAGGCGTACATAGGAGATTAAAAACGCATTCATACTAACACCATACAAATTCATCATGAGCGCACTTTTTGACAGCAACATTCTTTCAGACAATAAAAAATGCTCATACAAAACATAATGACAGGGGAAATGATGACGGCCTGTCCACAGCGTTCGGGGCCAATTAAAAATTTGGACACCTCAGGTAGGTAAATTTGGCTGTAGGTTGATAAAATAAGGTGGCCGCGGTGGAAAGTGGCCCTTTGTACTGGTGGCCGTATTATACAGGTGGCTGGCATGATAGATCCGACAGTATTCTCAAATCTATACACACACCTAGACTAGAAAAAACATTAGTCAACACAGCTAAGCTTTACGGCAAGTACTTACCATGTTTGTTAGTTTCAGCTAATCATGTGAATATTTCTTTTTCAATAAGTCTTGTTTTCAACTGTGGGACCAGCTTAAGCGACACTCTCTAGCTCGGCTGATCCAACTGAAGATATCTGTAAATGAAAGAGAAAACAGAGATCACTATATAGGCAGGCACTTTCTCTTCAGGCCCAGCAAGGCAACCATCAGTTTGGTGGATAAAAACCTTTTTTTTAAAATGTTGTGTGTTAGAGGAAGGACCTCCCAGCTTAACGTCCATCTTCGACAGGACTGAGCCAAATGGGTGGAGAGCCTTAAAAACTCCCCAAAACAAAAACATTTTAGAACTCCTCCTTGGGGGATTCGAACCACAGCCATCAGCTCTGAGGTTCAGCTTGATACCATCTGAGCTAATGGTGCAACCATAGAGGTTACTTAGTGATTTTAAACCCCCACCAATATAATTAAGTCATTTAGGAGACCAGTTTTGACCCTGTTTGTCAGGACCAATCTGGGCTGAGAGAGATATATACCCTATCCCAGCAGAAAGACAAAGATACTCCATAAAATTCACCCCACTTGGAGGTTGAACTTGAGTCTCCCACAAGCAATATTAGCAAAGCGCCTAACTGCTACACCACAGAGGCTGGTGTTGCCCTATGTGACCTGCACAAAAACTTAACTTAAAGGTTAGTAAGAAAACTAATTTTGCCCACTTTCTAATAGTGCAATTATTAATTATATCATTAGCTCAATACCAATACATACACACAGTCAAACTTGCTCGAACAACCAGCTGTCCAAGACAATCCCCTACACAAACGACCACTTCCCATTTCTACCCCTTGAATCTTGCCGTAATTAATATTTTCCTGTCCAAGAGGACCATCTCAGTACCCACTGTTCTCCAAGACAAGGGGTGGTTATCTTGGGCAGGTTTGACTGTCATGTGGCACCAAAACAAGGATCAGCAGGCACTTTGTTCACTGTAGGCATCCTTCACTGCTCAGGCATGGTAAAACTATGTTTTTGTTTTAGTAAGCGTTTTACGGCACTTGCAACACCACACAGTAACATCAGTGCTAAAGATCAGAGGTGTTACAAGTGAGTAACAAACATATATATGTATAAAAGACGGAGGAGAGATAAGAATAATAGATGTTTGACTGGAAAGAAAGAGCAAACCACATTAGAGCATCTGCAAACCACCCTCATAGCAACTAAGAGCTATGAAACCAAAAACATACTCTCGGAACAACAAGGAACCATGGTTTTTTTTCAAATGTGACTTTTGACAGCAAAAACAAAAATAAATACAAGCGGCAAACAATAAAACAAACTGGACCCAAGAATCGACTGAAAGCAATAATAGCCCTTTTGAGATATTTAGTTTTAAAAAAATATACAGTTCCAGAATCTGGAACACAGACCCTCACCAGCAGGTTAATTATCAAGTTCCCAATTGCTATTTAAGTACTACATGATATTTGCCAAACTTGATTCGTAATTCTGCAGGGCGGACGGACTCATATCATTTCAGTACTTGTGCTTTATTCAGCAGGGATCACTTTTGAATGGTGGGGAACTCACTTTAGTTTTACGGCACTTGCAACACAAGAAAACCATATAAATGTCGAAGAATAGAGATGTGTTACAAAGGAGCAACATACACAAAAAAGAAGGAGGAGAGATAAGGACAATAGATGTTTGATATGTAAAAAAAGGAGTAAACCACACCAGAGCACCCCCCAACCACCCATGAACTCACTTTACCTCATCGCATAATTCAATAGTAAATTTCAGCACAACATCAGCTATCACCATGAAAAGGAAATTTTGAATTCACATTTTATGAACACTGGACTTGAAGTTAGTCCTCACGTTCTGTGAAGCTTGCGTTAACCTTAAAATAAGACACAGCACACTAAATCCAGCTCTTAATTTCTGTAGAACAGCACACATGACAATTGACAACAGCTGTCAGGAATCGAATTTCAAATCATTAATTAATTCATTTTTTAAAAAAGATTTCAAGAACCAGGAGCAAGTAAAAAAACAAAACCCAACCCAATCTCTTTGCATATATATTTACCCTTGATAAAAAGACAAAAATGGTTCTGTGATGAGCAAGAGAGAGAATGCGCTGCTACAGCAGGATGATGTTCTTTACATGATGTGGTAGACCAAAAAAAACCAACATGAGGTAATACAAAGTACAATTTACAAGTCCCACTCACAAAAGGACACACACACTCATGTTTTGTCACAGACACATCATGACGCGATCTAACAACCAATATTGTGAGAGGGGATCATTCTCTACAATGTAAAAAAGCAGACATGCCCGACTCTTCAATCACACAAGAAAATGGGTGAAAAGCGGAGTCAAAGCAACCAGCCTGGACTGAAAAATTCATGGATCGTGGAGCACAAATGTGACAAAGATAACATACATTCTCCTTACCAACAACTGTCCTGACCAACAACTGTCCTGCCCAACAATGTCCTTCAAATGAGGCAAAGAAGAAAGAATCTAAAGTGTTCAAGATATATTAACATGTATGTGAATGTGATTATCGGTCATTGCCAAATGATATCACAGGCCTGGAGGAGGTCGATGGCCAATACAGCCCCATTTGAGAAATGATTGGAGAGGCAGCATGGTGAAATCAGGTGCACACTAAAATAATGAAATTAAAGAAACCGTTTATTTTTCTGCCCGTTTGGCAAATTTTACTTAATTTTGGGTTGTTCGCTAAGCGCCTTTTATATTCATTCAAAATCACAATTCTGTGTGGATCATAGTGAAAAAAGTAGATTAAAGGTGCAAAAAAGTAAATTTTCGTTTTTCAAGGACTCTCAATATAGATCTATATGAAAGTCACCAAACTGTGGCGACCGTTTTTTCGTTGATTTAACCTCTAAAACCAGGTGCCCCACCTCCTTCAATTGCAAATATCTTGAGTTCTATTCAAGATAGATTAGTGTATTTTTCCATGAAAACATCTAAACCTAGACCTAGACAAATGAAGTTAATGAACAAGATTTAAGATTCAATAACTCAATAAAATACCCCGAAAAATCGACGAGCACCTGATTCCACCATGTCTTGAGGTAATTTTAATAGCTTCGGAAATATCCAAGTTGTAAAAACAGTTAAGATAAAAATAAAAAAATACATTGTACATGATACACACTATTTTCAAAACAAAGTGACAACATACAAAGAATTTATCAAAATCCCAAACAAATTCCCAATTCACTCTAGTACTAAGCACAGTCACATGTATCTCACATTTTATTCCTCATACACTTTATGACTTTACTAGATGCCTTCCCATCTCTACTGCAATTAGTATCCACACACCTGACGAGGTAAATTTTTACTTTCACTCCTGCACACAGATCATCACTGCTTTGGGGGTCAAACTGCAGACTACTGATTGCTGCAGAGAACACATATATATAAGCCACTAAAACTATGCAAACCAACTATTTTCAAGAAAGTTCCAACCGTAAAATATCAAATTATGGGTTAAAACAGGGGAGCACGAACC